TGTAGACCAGGCTGGCCTCGAACTCACAGAGATCCGCCTGGCTCTGCCTCCCGAGTGCTGGGATTAAAGGCGTGTGCCACCACCGCCCGGCTAGTGTGTAATTTTTTTAAAACTTTTTTTTGAGATAGTGTCTTGTTATGCTGCCTAGTCTATATTTAACTTAAAGATCCTCAGGCCAGGTGTGGTAATGCACACCTTTAGTTCCATCACTTGGGAGGCGGAGGCAGGCAGATCTTGGTGAGATCAAGACCAGGGTGATCTACATAGCAAATTCCAGGACAGCTAAAGCTACACAGTGAGACCTCATCTCAAACAGAACAACACAGACTAGAACTCTTGATCCTCCTGGTGTGTGCTAGGATTACAGATGTGTGTCACTGTGCCTGATTCTTGTGTGGTTCTAGTCTATCCTGCTTCATGAGAGACAGTTTCCTGCAGCCAAGCCTGGCTTCACATCTGCAATGTAGCCAAGAGTGATCTTGAATTTCTGCTCCTCCTGCATTAGACAAGGGCCTCCACATCCAATGTATGAAGTGTTTGGGGTGAACCTAGGGCTTCCACCTGTCTTACATGCCCTGTCTTGTCCCTTGCCCCTCACTTCTGACATTCAAAATGTTTTTGTTTTGTTTTTATGTGTGTGTGTGTGTGTGTGTGTGTGTGTGTGTGTATTATGTAGTTTTGTGTGTGCAGTACTCACAGAGGCCAGAAGAGGGCATGGGATCCATTGGAACTGGTGGTAAGGGTGGTTGTAAACTACATGATGTGGGGGCTAGGAACTCAGGTCCTCCGGAAGAGCAGGACTCTCTTAACCGCTGAGCCATCTCCAAGCCCTGTTTTGTTTTGGTTTTCAATTTTATTTATTCATGTGTATACATGTGTGCTTGCATGTGTGGAGGTAAGATGAGAACTTGCTAGAGTCAGTTCTCTCTTCCCAACATGTGAGTCTCAGGGATGTAACTCAGGTCATCGGGTTTGATGGCAAACAATTTTACCCACTGGACCATCCTGCTGGCCTCTGATACAGGGTCTCAAGTAGCCCAAGGAGGACTCAAGTTCATTATGTAGTGGAGGATGACCTTGAATTCCTAATCCTCCAACCTCCACTTCCATAGTGCTGAGGTGATAAAATAAGCTCCATGCCTGTTTCACGTGGTGCTGAGAATGGAACCCAGGGCTTCACGTATGTGATCCAAGCCCTTTATCCCCTGAGCTATGTCCCATGTCCGTCTGTATTTTTACGTCTGGCTATGCCTGTGTGTTTCTATGGTCCTATGTGAGTGTGATGGTGAGATTTCAGACAGGTCAACGTGTGTTTCTATGGTCCTATGTGAGTGTGATGGTGAGATTC